CCAGCAGCCCAAGCAGGCCTCCTCGGCGCCGACACCAGGTTTCGGATTCCGGGGCTGCTTCAAAGGTCTCCGGTCTCTGGAAGTCGAGTCCGCGCGGTCGAACCAGTGCACTCGGTATCGAGCTGTCGAGGGTCCACTGACCCAACCAAGGACTTGCACTGCACAAACTTGTGGATGAAAAGGAGAATATCATGGCTAAATACAGTAGTATCTAGTATCATATCATCGTGTATTTCTTGTCATTTTAATGCGAATGCGTTTAAAGGAGGACAAAAACTCTGTGAGGAAAATGGATGTAAAAATAACTAGCCGTGGTCGTATTCTCATTTACATCTCACACTTTTTTCGACAGTACGGTGTGGAGGTCGCTCGCGCCCCGTCGAGGATCTTGAACCCTACGCGATCATGGCCCTGCCTTTGTGGCGAGAGGATCGCGGGAGCTAGGCCCCCGGAGGAGGAGGAGGAGGAGGAGGAGGAGTTGGCTGTGTTTAAGCACGACCCAACGCGCCGGGAAAAGGAATAAAAAGAATTGTCGAGTTACTTTGTGAGGCGGGCGGGGCGGGGCGGCCTTGGGCGGTGTAGCGGTAGGCCTCCCCCCGCCTGCTAGCTCGACGCGACTCGGAACGTCGATTTGAAATTGGCCATAATGAGAGAAAGAGCGGCGGCACCCATGCAATCGGCATCCCATCGCAAAAGCGATAGCGCGCGCGGGAGAGAAGGAGAGAGGGGGAGGAGGAGGAGACGCAGAGGAGAGAGGAAGAGGAGGAGGAGGAGAGAGCGAGCGGGCGCGGTGGTGACAAAGAGCACGCGGGGGCCGCCGCTAAAGGGTTATCGCCCTAGAGGTGTGCGAATTAGGGGAGGCTGGAGGCGCGCGGGGCGGATAGCATCGGCGAGCGCCTCTGCCTCCGCGCCTCGCCCGAGGGGTTGTGAGGGGGGGGGGGGAGCGCGCGACTCTTTACTGCGTCATTTTACAGCGCCGAGATTGCCACACTCGACGACGGGCAGAATCAATGCACGCGGGTGCCGGCGAAAGGGAAAGGGAAAGGGGAGGTTGGAGGAGGGGGAGGGGGGGGTGTGCAACCTGGAGGAGGACCACCATAACCGTCTCCTCGCGCTCCCCCTGCTCCTCCAGCCGCCTCCCGCCCGAGGTAGTTGGCTTTCCGTGCGGCTTTGTGCTACTCAAAGTCCGTCCGTGGGGCTGGGCTGGGCTAGCAGGGGCTGGCAGGGGCGCGGGGGTCCGACTGCCGCCTCCAGTACGCACGGCCCGCCCCGCCGCCGCCATGCCCCGCTGCAGGAGGCAGGGGGCTGAAGCCACAAAGGTTAGACTGACGTCTGGTGGAAGGCACGTTCTGTCGATTGGTGACGTGCCGAATCTTCCACTTCCTGCTTGATCTCGCCTTTTCTGTCTTCATCCCCCCCCCCTCCTCCCTTGCCGTTGCGATACCGCGCCTGCCTGGCCTATTCCAGAGCGCCCCGGAGCGCTCGTGCGCCCCTCAGGTGCCGCTCCACTACCCCTCAATTCTTTCCGGGTAATTTTTACTTTTTTTGCGAACTTTTTGCAAATTGTAATTGTGCTTGCCGAAAACCTGTTTTTATAGAGAAGGCTTGAGAGTTGGTAAGGTAGGATTAAATGATGAGCAGTAATGAAGATGTGACCGAAAAAATAAAAATAAAAAAAAATAACTAGCAGAATGTCATGCACGTTTGGCCAAGTTAGGTGTTAATTTATATCGCTTTATATGCATTTTGTCATTGCTAATTTCACTGTCCACAGAGTTTTCATACTTATATTTAAGTACACTTTGTTAGGTTGGCCGCTTTCACAAAACGTTTGAATCAGACACTTGGCTTTGTCGTATTGTACGGTACAGTTCAATACTTTTTCGAATAATTTGAAACTCAGCAAAAAATCGTTGAACTTTTCGCATCTTCTACAGTTTTTATTCTCGAACCCTTTCACTTTCTCCGAAGTCAGTGACAGTTTTTATTTCCCCGTTTGAAAGGATTCACCGCGTCGAGGGTATTTTACAGTGTTGCCTTGCCCACCTTCGGCATGAAATATGTAAGAAATCAATGAGTCATCGTCGTGGCCTACGATTTGTCGGGGAGTCCATATGTGCCGTTGCTACCCCCCCCCCCCCCCCGCCTTATACAAGTTTATCGTGGGTGATGAGGGTCCGCCGGGGGGTCGTCGGTCGTCAGTCCCGCGGTGCGTTACGACTGTCGCTCGGATCGATCGCGGTGACTGGGCCCGCCCCACCCCGCAGGGGGTGACCGCGTGGCCAAACCACCGCGCGGGGGGAACTTCGGAAAGTAATAGGTGACTGAACGTAAGGACCGAACTGCACGCGGGCCAACGTCACAACGACACGAGTTGGTGGATGGAAATTATCGAGGGAACTGCAGCAAGGTTGATAAACAATACAAACTGGTTGATGGGTCTGGACGCCGCGTTATTGTAACGTCTGTTTCTCCCTCTCTCAGATCCGTTATTACATCACGATTTGTAAAATTTTCATGGAATGGGCCCTTTGGCTCAACTTGTGGGGTCTAGGGCGCGGCGGCTAAGCGAGGGAAGGGAAGGGAACGGCCACCCGCCGCAAACTGACAAAATTAGATTGATAGCTTCCGCGTCTTCCCCCCCGGCGGCGGCCCCACTTCCACTTCTTTCCCCGCGCTCCCCTTTCCTTCGCGCCTCTTCGAGTGATTATCGGCATCGATGCTCGATTGACGCAGACTAATATGGCCCTATGCAAACCGGCGAGGCTTTAGATAAGAATAATAAAAAAAAGGTAGGATGAATAATAAAAAAAAAACAGCAAGTGTCTGGCCAGGGTTACGTCCTGTCAAGAGCGTTTACTTAACCCGACTTACCCTCGTTGGTAAATACATGCTTTAGGTGGTGGAAGGATGAAAAAAAAAAAAGTAAAGCGAGTCCTTGACCTTGGCGGGGGGACTTTGAGGTGGTTTTTTTGCCCCCCGATCGGGGCGCGCGAGCCCCGCCCCGCCCCGCGTCCGCGGCGCCCTGCTCAGGTTTTATAAAAGCGGTTCCGCTATCACGTGTGCCCTTTGTCAAGATTGTACCCGGGCGGCTCGGCGATGTGATGGATTGCTCAACAAGTAACCGGGTATCGTGCCCAGCGAGCCCTTGTCGCTCGTGACCGGCCCGGGCCCGGCTGGCCTGGCCAATTCACCTATATGGAGAGAAATATACAATTTTGCCTCCGTGTCTTTGTGCAGCAGCACGGCGCGGGGCCTTCACCAACCACGAGTCCCTCTTGCTCGGGGCTGTGGCGGTGCGCAGCAGCCTCTTTACCCGGGGAAGGTGTTACCCCATTGCGGAAAAGTCGCCGCTCGCGCACTTTGCCGCTTGGATCACCCACTTTTCCCGCCGAGTTACCCGCCGCCGCCGGACCGGACCTCCCGGCCGTCGTCGCCGAGGTGTAATCCGGGCTCGACGCCATTCCCTGCAGCAGTCGGCTTCACGCCACGCCACGCCACGCCACGCCCCGGTCGCGCTTCGCCCGTCCCCCGAGTCGAGTCGTCGAGTTTCAACTTATTGGCGTGCCATGCTGCCAGAGCGCACTGCTGTCGTTGCGCACTTCCTCACAACATTCGACGGCGAAGCTTTTTGTTTTGTTTGATTTGCCCGGATTTCTTGGGCGTCTGGACGAAATTAAATTGAATCTGAGAAAACGACCTGATAAGTTCCAATGAAACCCGCGTTGAAATTGTCAAGCAGTTACCAACTGAAAATTTGATTAATTTGTGAGAATGTTTTGGGCGTGCCTTGTTTTCCACTCCCGCAGAGACCTCTCGAGGGGTGACGCCGCCCTATTAGGTGGCAGTGTTTATCACCCCGTGGACACGTGTGCATACAAGCCTTTCGTGCGACGTCTCAGTTTGCGTGGCGTGGCACGCTCCGGCGGGGGCGGGGT